CAGAGTATTACAAGAGCTCAACTCTCTGTCTCCAACTAATCCCAGCTGACCCAGATAACAATCAATCAATATTCATAACTGGTTGATTTCAAAGATTGTTGTGATATATTTTAGGAAGTTGTTTTCAACCTCTGTATTTGCTGCTTTCTGCAAATGATACCCATGCCTTGTTCTGGGTCGGGGATGGAAGAGTACCTAACTTAAGATTGCAGCTATGCCTTAGCTTGAGTTATAAAAATTGATTGCATGGGAAATCGAAGGCAAGTAAGTTTGGTTGTGACTTTTATTTTCTCTGAAAGGCAGGTTAAATGAACAGGCTGAATAAACAAATCGCTAATAGTCTTAAATCTTAAATGACCTCAAAGAGTTTTGTTATTAACTTTGTCTGTAAGATATATCAAATTTCCAGTCTTTTCGAATGTAAGGAATATTTTAATAATATTGCATTGCCACACTTGCCTACTTCCTCAAGATTATATTCAGGTTCTTTCCTACATTTTATTTTCCCTCACCTGGTAAGTTTTATGTTTTAGGAGCAATCTATATATTTGCTCAGGACTATTGCTGCACTGTCTAACCTTGCCGAGAAGCTGCCAGATGTCATTGTCAACTGCTAGATGACACTGACAGCAGGAAATCATAATCATTTCTGATTTTCAAATCCCCAGAAGTATTCCCATTTGTGATATATGTAGAAGCTGTAGCACATTTGAATGGCACACATCATGCTCCACACGGCTCTCCATTAAGTCCAATATGTCTTAGTTTTCTTCTTTCAACATGGGAATGTCTTGTATCTGTAAGATATCCAAATTTTGTCTACTCGTACTTCTGTGCCCATAGTAATGTCTGGACCCTTTCCCACCTGGAGTGAGAGCCATCTGTGGTCTCTTTTAAGATAGTTCCTCTTCTGTTTCTGCCTTGGGGCAGACCATTTGGTAGAGGTAGAGGAAGTTTGGTACTAGGGCTGAGGGTCAGGTTATGAAAGTCCTTTATTAATATTTCAGGCCAAGATCTTTCTGAATCTTTGGGGTAATTTTTTTTTATGGAACATATGAAAAACCCCGGGGACATGGTTAGCTTAAGCATTTGTGACACTCCATTGGTGATGTGGGGAAGCTTCAAAAATTATCCTGGAAAAAATTGTTCAGTTCCAAAAGAGATTGGACTGTAAAATCCAACAAGTAGTGGTGAAATAAGCCAACCTCAGACATTGATGTTTCTCTCCTTGTAAAAGAGTAGTTCACCAAAGTGATGTGTCAAAATTTGAAAAATATATGTAACTCCTTAACTGAATTGTAAAATGTGTATATTATTCTTTTAATACTAGCTGTTTGACCCATGTGCTGCCACTAAACTCCCCCAAATTTCTTCCTGTTTGTGCAGCAGGGTTGAAAACATGTAACATGCTTTTCTCCTGGGGATGTTCAAGCATGGCGTTTCATAGGAAGCTATGCAGGGAACATGGTATACCATATTATTCCTAGCTGACCATATGAAATAGTATTAAAACTCTTCAACCTGAATCGTAAAAGGGTATGTATCTGTTGGCTGTTTTCATATAAACTTCCCAGCTGTGCATCCTTGAAGAAGAACTGAATATGAAGTTTTACTGGATTTCTTCCCACAGATCTTATATCATGCCACTTGACCCAGAGACCAAGTTTCATGAATTTTTGTGGGTGGAGACAGGTAAGAATTTATGGCTTGGATGACTCCCCTAAATCCAGAGAAATGAGAAGTAACTTACCCTTTGCAAAATCTTTAGTAGGAACACAAAATGATTAGGACTCTCAAACCAAGGAAACTCCAGGTTTATAAGATAGATATTATTTTATAAGCTATATGCCTTTATTTAGAACCTGATAAATTTGCTGAAATCTTAACATTAGTTTCCCCCAAATGAGTACATACTATTGATTGTAAAAGGAAAAGTGTCTGGGTTATATTCGTTGATGTTGGGTGGGCTGAGTGTTGTTTAGAGCCATGTAGATGGTTAACAGTGAGAATCGATGTGAGGGGCATTTGTTACCATACTAGGGAGAAGTAAGGATGAAATAAAAAAGAACTTCTCTGGCATTTTCCACCACAAGGAGCAATGCTGACTTCCAGGTTTCCATGTCCCTGAGCCCCAAAACTTAACCAGATTTTCCTCATCCATGCCTGCTGAACTCTGAGAACCCTTTTCTATCTTACCCTGAGTGGGTCAGAGGAGTACCTACATGGCCATTTGTCACTAAAACACTTCTTCACCTCCCCCAAAGCTTGTCTGATTAGCCCCAAAGCATGTTGAACCCACAACAAGGTTACTGGAAACGCCACTTAGTAAATAGACACTTTACAGTAATCGAATCTTGGTGTCACACAGTTCAGACCACAGGCCCTGGCAGCCCAGAGCAAGAGTGGCTTGGAGCAAACTGCACAGACAGGAAGCAAAATCCTCAGCGGGGTCCTACCACAGTGCTTTGGCTTTCAGTTGCAAGGAGGAAAATTTACCAGCTACCACCTTACCTATTGCCACTAAGTTGCTGTCACTGAAGTAATGTTAGGGGGTGGGGGGCAGGTAAACCATGAAGAAAACCAGCCGGGGTGGGGCTTTCAAAACAATTTCCAAAGAACAATTTTGTGTTCTCAAGTTTCTCATATTATTGATTAATGGTCAAAAGTCATGTGTGGAAGGGGAATCCCCAAGCCCAGTTATGGCGGTTAGACCACTAGGTGGGCTCTGCTGACATTTAGCCAAAATGATAAGATATTCTGATGCTTTTCAAGTGGTTTTGAGCTGCGGTCTATGAATTCTAAATTCATTCCAGGTGAGGTTCAGTCTTCTGACTCTCAAGCAAGAGAACCTGTCCACTAGCTCGAAGCACTGGATAAGGTGTCTCCATTCGCTCGTCCTTACTGCAGTTCATTCTCCACGAGCCAGTGTGTCTCTGATGCTAACGGTAAACTGACTTAAGAGGCAATGTTAAATTACCTCTGTTGGGAAGAAAACTCATTCCCTTTTGTCCTGTGTTCAAGGATGAGCTTGGTTCCCTTTCTGGCTTCCTGGGGTCCTCTGTATAGCCTGCTCTGTGGTCAGTGCTCTCCCCTTCCGAATGTGATCCACAATCCTTTCTCTTAAAGCAAACAAAGCAAGGGGTAAGCGATGTCTCTCACACGTCTTCATTCACTGTGTCACTTAAAGCCCTGTTTTTGTTCCCTTTATCGCTGTACATACTTGGCTAATGTCAGCATCTCAAATGTCAACTCAGTCACACCATCATCAAGAAAACGGCTTCCCTCTGCTAACAACACCTGATAGCCATTGAGTCTGACGAGAGCTGTGGATGCTCCCTTGTTATTTGAGTCATGGGTTACCTGGTCCCCCTTAGAGGTGGACCCAGAATAGAGACAAGCTTCTCCTTACTTGCAGCTGGCCTTCTCTCTGTCTGTTTACTGATCTTTCTAGAACTGGTGACTCACCGTAAATCCCCAATAGGGACTGTCACTCCAGGGCTGTAATCCTTATAAGTCTTCTTCCCTGAAGTCTAGCTTCAAGTTTTATCTTTAGTGGGAGGGAATTCCAGTTATGTATAACATGTCCTGGGACTGACTATTGTGTGACTCTTACATACTTCATATATTGTATTACCACACACTGTATCAAGATAGAGAGTAACCACTGAACTCCTAAGATGAATCTAAAGAGAAAGTAATGCTATTATTAGCTTGCTAGATAGATAATAAGAAAGGGAATGACAAACTTTAGTGTTGACTGAAGCTGCTGTCTCATGTACTGTCCTGGGATTGCTTGATCTGAGTACCTGAGTTATTATCATTTTTTTAAAGACACTGTATTTTCCTACTTTAAAGGTCCTGTGTGGCAGCTTAACAACCTGTCTGGCCAATACCAGATTCTCAGCATTGAAAAGAATATGTCATTCTGGACAGAATGCTATATAAGCCAGGCATAACCTGAACTAGTCACTCACATGGCTCTGAGCATTACAATGGCTAGGTCACTTTTGCTCTGTGGTGACTACAGGTTTACAAGTAGTTTCTCTCGAATGTCCAAGTCAACTTCTACTTCAGCCATATCCGTCATGTATACCTCTTTCCCAATATAATTTTGGACTTGCAGCTGATTCATCAGAGGTAAATCATGAGTGTTGTGTTGGTACCTTTGCCTGCCTCTATCCAGTTTCTGCTCCAAACCATCAACTTGTCAAATGGATGAATCCATTTTAGCTTCCAGAGAGACTGTTACTATCACATTCCAGACTAAGTTCACCACCTAAAAATAGGCTAAGACTCACTTCAGAAAGCAAAAGAGGCAGATGTGAGCATAATGATTTTTTATTTATTCAGCGACAACACAGAACTGTTTTTAATGTATGGATGATAATGCTAACATGCTAATAACAACATATCCTAATAACCACAAGTGCTACTTGCCCTCTCTATACACAAGGCTCATTTAGGCTTTGTGTTTTCCTTCCCTCATAGAGTAGAAGCCAGGGAAGCTAAGTCACTTGTGCAAACCCTAACTCAGTAGGTGAGGAAGACACAGCTTATCTCCAATTTTACTTAAATTCCGTAACTCTTCTCCCCATCCAGAGGTTTAGACAGACCATGAAGTTAGGAAGGGCAAACAGGACAGTTTAAATTCCAGCCTAGGAAGTTTGCATTTGATCTCTTAGGCAACCAGAAGTCACCATGAATATTTTTGAGCCTAAGAGTAATGTAATAACAATCTCTTTAAGAAGGTTGATTGGATAGTTATGGGTAGGAGAGTCAAACACATGAAAGACAGAGGTTAAAGGCCATTTGAAAACATACTACAAAAAGATACAGAAAGCATAGGGGGAAATCATAGAGCTTTATTTAAAAAATTGAAAATATCCAAGTAAATGGACACATAAACCATGTTCTTACATATTTATCAGCATGGATATTATTATTATTATTATTATTATTATTATTATTATTATTAATCAATTAAATATTTCCATCTTCCTTTTCATTAGTCTGCAGAATCAATGGAATTCCAATCAATATGTCAACTGTTTTTATTTTTAAAAAATTTATGCAATATATATTGATGATGTTTTTGTCCTCCTTCAATTCCTCCCCAACTCTCCTGCCCAACTTCATATTCTCTTTCTTTCTCTCTCCAAACTAAAACACAAACAAAAAATGAAAATCAAAGTAAGAAAAAAAAAACAAGACAAAAAAGCCCCAAACAAACAGAAATAGCTTTGTATTGCTCAACTCCTTGGCATGAAGTCTACCCTGGAGTGTGGTTGAAGTGTGGTCAATATACCCAGTGTCACCACAGTGGGGAAAACTGATTTTCCTTTTTCTCTGCAGATATCAATTACAAACAGCTTCTTGGTTAGGGATGGGACTTTGTAGCTCCCCTTCTCAGACCCTGTCTCACTTTAATCTTTGCAGACCTTGTGTATGCTGCCACAGTTTCTACGAATTAATATTGCTCCGGCGTGTTGTGTTTGGAAGATAGCTGTTTCCTTGGAGTCACCCATCGCCTCTGGCTCTTATGTTTCTGCCCCCTCTTTCTCATAGGTCCCTGAGCCCTTAGGGGAAGATTTTGATGAACCTATCCCATTTAGGATTGACTGCTCCAAACTCTCTCAGTCTCTGCATGTTATCCAATTGTGGGTCTGTCTCTATGTTAATTTCCATCTTCTACAATAAGCTTTTCTGATGAGAGTTGAGCAAGGTGCTGATCTATGGTTATAACAATATGTTGGGTTTTTGGTTTTTGGTTTTTGGTTTTTTGAGGCAGGGTTTCTCTGTGGCTTTGGAGGCTGTCCTGGTACTAGTTCTTGCTGGTCTCGAACTCACAGAGATCCACCTGCCTCTGCCTCCTGAGTGCTGGGATTAAAGGCATGTGCCACCTCTGACTGGCTAACAATATGTTGTTAAGAGTCATTTTATTGTTATAATCCTTTAGCAGAATAACTGTAGTTAGTAGGTTTTTCCTTTAGGATCATAAATTAGCTAATATCAGATTTTTGATCACTTTAGCAGTCAAGTATGGGTTCCATATCATGGAGCGGGCCTTAAATCTAATCAAAAAGTGGTCAGTTACTCCCAGAACATTCATGACTATTGAACCTGTATGTCTTGTAGAGACATCTTTGTTACAGGTCTCAGGGGTTGAGGCTGGATGATACTGAAGGTGATTTTTTCACTCTGATAGTCTACTGAGTGCCTTCCAGTGTCAAGACTGCTAGTCAGAGGGAGTGGAGCTTCTAGTTGGGCACCTGTTATAGGGAAGAGCTGGCACACTCTGCTCCTTCCCTAAGCTTCTCCATCCCAAGGGCTGATCTGCTATTCCCCTAGCTACCCTTCTTTGTATAATCCAGCTATTTTGGTTACCTGGCTCGTTTGGTCTACCTTTTACCCTCCTGGCTAGTCTCTTGGCTTAGGCCACCCCTCTTGGTTGGAGGCTACTTTCCTCTCAACCCTGTGCTCACATGGGCTGGCTCAGGGTCATGTTCACTCTGGACTCTCCCAGACATCCCTGCCTCTGGCTATATTCTCCCTTTTGCATAAACTAAATGTTCTCCACCATACCTACCTAGGAGCATTTCTTTCATTCAATCCCCTTCCTCTGTGTGCAACTCCAGCATGTAAAGTCCTTCTCATAACGTGTCATCCCGAGCTCTTTCACCTCCCTGCCCTGTCTTCACTGAGATTGCAACAGGCCTACGTAGGTACTCTGTATAACCTAACTGACTAGAAACCTCAATTCTTACCTGCCATCTCAATTCTCCTTTGCTCTAGAGCAAAAAACGTATTTGCCAGGTACAAGTTTTTTTGCAAAAACCTCCAGCCTACTGAGACATGAAAAGGTTTCACTTCCTCTGAAGGATTTTACTCAGCACACACCAGGAGAACTATACCTGTAGCCACTTATCTAGTTAATTGCTCAGATTCAAGAAGGCCAAGTAGTCTTGACCCAGTCCCCAGCTTAGGCCTCAAGATCTCATGAAGGTGGGAGCCCTTTCTCCTAAGGCATTTATGGTCAAAAGGAATGAAGCCCAGACTTGGGACAAGTGATAACTGCTGGAGACGTCCATTGGGCCTTTGAAATGTGCTTACATTAAGGTTAGAGGGAAAAACCTGGATCTTCCCTGACCTCAGAGGAGCAAAGGCATTTTTATGGTTGTTTCTTTCTTTCCTTGCCTATGGGAAGTCCAGCTACATTCGTATAATATTCAGGCTGGCTTTTGAGGTGTATTTTGTGACTGTTTGAGAGACTCTCACTATGTAGCCTAGACAGGCCTGACAGGCCTTAGACTCACAGTCCTCCTTTCGCAAACCCTGGGATCATGGGCATGTACTACCACTTTTGACTTTTGGCCTGGTTTTTATCCTGCCATGAGGTAAACTGTTTTTTGTTTTTTGTAGTTTTTTATTATCAAGTGACTTCAGTGATATGGCCTGAGATAAAAGGGACTGGCTCATCTATTTTTTCTTCCCCACCACCAGGAAGTATTTATAACTATCTCTTAGCCAGACTTTAGTATGTGCACTTAAGATGATAATTGAAACTCAATAGGCACTCCAAGTTTATAAAAGTTTCTTCTTAGAAATTTATAGTTTCATTCCACATATTTAAAGACTGGGTCCATCTGTACTGTATTTGAAGTATGGATGAGGATTTAGCTTTTTCCTGAAAATGGTTTTCCAATAGCTGTAAGCCCATTTCCAGAAATAATCAACTTTTCTTCCATTATTTAATGTCTCAGTGAGGAGGGAAGTACAGGCAGATACATTTAGCCTCATTTTATAATTAAGTCAACTCCACTGGTGGGGATGGTTAAATGACTTAAGGTTAATGAAAAACACTGATGAGGTAGGAATAAAATTTCAATTAATACTCTCCCCAGAAAAAGGTTTTCATGTAGCTGGCTTATTATACATAAAAATAATCTACAGGGAAAAATCAATGATTGAAAGACAATGAAATTTAGCCTTGATGGTTAGTCTTGGACATCACCCAGAATTGGTGTAATTTCTTTTCCCTGCAGTTTCTCAGAATGAGTCCCAGGGTGACATGGTACACTTCCCTTACCTATCAGCTATGCCGAGATGTGTTTTCTGATAATTAATGATAAAAGTTTAGGGAATGTGTTACATATAAATAAACTGCTATGCTGAGTTGACCACCAAATTACAGAAAACCGATATCAAAGACAAAAGTTTAACTATTTCTGGTCATAAAGCAAGTACAATTTTTAATGACTAACCTATGAATTATTTCTTGCCAAAGACCATTATACATGTTTTGTAAAGGGCAGAAATTTACAAAATCACGATTTGTATTTTGTTTTTAATCTTTATCAATATTTAATGGGTTAGTGTGACTTATTTCCACTTTTCCTTGAAAATCCACCTATGGTTTCTAGTGAAATGGAAAACAATCTTGAAAATGTTTCTGGCATGAGCATAAATCCAACAGGGAGTTTACTTACAAAGTGGAAACTCTCCTACATATAGGAAGTGTAGTCTTCTGGGAGTGCCAGGGACGTCACAACTCATCCTGTCCTGGATACTGGCCCAAGAGTCCACCTGCCCTTGAGACAGAAGAAAGAATGTGTGTGGCAGAAACTTTTATCTCAATGATATTGATGGTAGGGGCACTCTGGAGATAGTTACACAAAGGTACTCGGCAATGCCCCCAACAAGACACAGTCCAGTCCCTCTTTGACTGCCAGCAGCAACACAGGACTTAGTTTTTAAAAAGTTTCTCCTTTCAATTTGTCTAAAATACTTCCCATCTACAGGATGTGCCACTAAAGATAACAAAAAAGACTAGTCCCATCTTTCTGTGAGCCTTTCTTTAAAGCATGTGTAAGCCACACCCACAGATTTTCTGCAAGTTGTATGAAAGAACCTTCAAGTTAAGCAAAGAAAAACACCCAGGCTGGCCCTGAAAGCTAGACTTAGGATAAAAATGCTAGCTTCTTTTTTCTCCTTGGATCATTTCCAATCCTTTCATTTATCAGATGAATAAATATGTGTACTCAAATGTCCCAGAATTCTCCATGTCAGGCATACAAGTTCTATAAACACAACTCTAAGACCTTCCTTGGCCATCAGCTCTAGCTGTTATTCTAACCCCAAGGAACCTAAGGGGAAGGGCTAGCTAGCATGGCTAGCAACTGATGTTCAGAGGACTCTGCTAGTCCTAGCAGAGCTACCCACAGAGAATGACAACCCCAGATCCTGGGGAACTTACATTAGGGTGTGGGACTGCATGAGGGAAGGAAGGGAATGACACAGTACCTCACTGTCTTTCAGTTCAATATTAGTCTATTTCACAATGTCATTACAGTGATACAATATTTCATTGTTCGCAAAGTGTCCTCCAATATATCCTCTCTCATTTCTCTCCTGCTTAATAAGCATTATGGAAAAGAAATTATCTATAAATTGCAAATATATTGTATACACATATTAGAAGACTCAAATAGTCATAGTCTAGTCAAAATAATATTGTATTTTATTTCATGTGGGAAAGAAGTATAGAGTGGTAGAAATATAGTCCAGTAGTCAGGTACTTGCCTAATGTAGATGATGCCTTGGATTTGATTTGCTATATCCCCTACCCCATTACACCCAGAAAAGTAAAAGAAGCTTGGGGGGCTGCTATGGCGGCTCTATCAAGAGAAGGGGCCCAGGCTCTCTCTGTTTCATCTTCAGTGGGTACTCTCCATCCTCGTGTCGACCTCATAGTAACCTTTCAGTTGCTATTGTACTCACCACAGCTGTGAACAGGAGGAGGAAAACTGAAGGGAGGTCACATCTCCAGATGAATTACTTTCACCCAAAGTGATTCCTCATTGGTTACTTCTATCTGCCAGGAAGGCTGGGAAATGTAGTTTGTTTGTTTAAACATAGACTCAAGTCTCCTGTCTGTATAGGAGTTCATTGCTAAAAAAAAAGTTTGATGAAATGATTATCAGGATGGTAATTTGTAGTCTCTGACCAAAGAAACTGGGGCTAACAGGGGTTAATTGATGGGCTGTGAACCATGGCCAGCTGCTGTCTGATGGAAGCTCTGTGATAACTTTAGAGCATTCTCCTGATGATGAATTACCCTAAGTGAGACATTGATATCCTATTGCATATAAATGGACTCTTTTATACCTTAAAGGGTACCAATTGCTTATGTAATTGTAAATGACAGCATGCATCTTTTTTTTTTCCCTGCATTTGGTAAAATTTTGTTTTCTGTGTTATCTGCACCTTTACAACCCAGAGGCCTGGCTTGACCCACAGTAGAGCCTAGTGCCTATGGCTTCATGTTTCCCTATGGGACCACCACCTCCTCCTATGTGGTGCCCTTTCCATTTGAGTAAAGCAGGCAGTCTGCACTGCATTGATTTTCTTCCATTTGTTGTTGTTTCAAGTGTGTTAATTACTGTGTCATACTGACTAAATACCTGGCAGAGGGGAGGGGAGGGGCCTGTTTTGGTTCATGGTTCAGAGAAAGTTGTTCATCATGGTGGAAAAGGCATGACTGGGGAAGCTCAAGACAGCTGGCCACATCCCAGCCACCAGCAAACAGCTCAGACTAGAAGGGAATGGATTATAACTGAGTCCATCTGCCAGCCAGGCCTTCAGTCCCAAAGTTTCCAGAACCTCTCATCACAATGCCACCAGCTGGGGACCAAGGTCACAGATACTCAAGTAGATGCTCCACATCCAAACCCTACCAGAGTGTATGTGGACTCCAGTTTTCAGTGCTGGCTTTTTCACTGTCATCTGTCTTAGGGGTGGCAGGACCTTTGCCCTTTTTGTGACATTCATAAGTCTATACTTTTGATTTTCATCTAAGACATCCATCAATCTTGTTTTCTTGTTTATAATTGTGAAAGAAGCAGTTGCCACCTTTTCTCCCCCCCCACCTTTTATTGAAGACAGATTCTTTTTTGTGGGGGTGGGGAACAGGATACATTTATTCCAAAGGTTCTGCAGTCTTTAAAACAAGCACTGAGAAAACCGAACAAAGACTTGGGCTGAAGATTACCAATTCAAGCAAATGATATCTCTTTGTTACTCTCTCCAGTGAAACCCTAATAAATGATAGGTGCCATCCTAATGAAGGAAACAGGAGGCATTTGTTTCAAAAGAGCTGTTAATAGTGATAAATGTGCTTATGAGAATCTAAGTAGGAGAAAGGACAGAGTGACAAGGGTTTTGATGTATTATATCCAGTGCATTGGAGGAGGCTCACCTCAGTAACAGCATCTTAAATCTCTTCTCACTGTCTCTAACAATCTTGTGGGGTGGACAGTGTTAGTTTAAACAGCTAGTGTGACTACTATCTGGGAGCCACTCTGAGTATATAATGTTCTGTCTTTTCTAATTAACAATGTTGCTGATTGACAATGCTGCTCTGATATTTAGTTTGTGGGAAAGATGTTCCTTAATAATCAGTCTAGGAGAACAGGGGAACAGCTGTTTACTTTTTTTCCCCTTTGGCCTTTAAGTATTTTTTTTGTGTGTGTGCCTATAATGGATTCCTGAACCTCCACATGTGAAGAATTTGCAATCGAAGACAGAGTCTTTTCTCATAGCACATACCTGATTACAGTTTCCCTCCCTCCACTCCCTCCAGACCCTCCCTACCTGCTCTCCCCTCTGGATCCACAGACTTCTAAGAGATAACAACCAAACATGGCAAAATAAAATATAATAAGCTGGACAAGCCAAATCAATAGAAGAAAAAGAGACCTAAGAGCAGCCACAAGAATCAGAGACCCACTTGTTCCATGACATACTAAGCTGAAAGCTATAATGTATACTGAGGACCTGGTGCAGACCCTGTGCTTGCTGCTTGAGTCTCTGTGAGCTCACATGAGCCTTCTCAGCTGCTCTAGAGCACCTGGTTCTCCTGGTGTTCTCCATCCCTTCTGGTTCTTACACTCTTTGCTTCCTCTTCCTCAGGGTTCCCTGAGCTTTGAGGGGATAGATTTTTGGAGACCTCCCACTTAGAGCTGTTCTCTCTCTCTCTCTCTCTCTCTCTCTCTCTCTCTCTCTCTCTCTCTCTCTCTCTCTCTGTGTGTGTGTGTGTGTGTGTGTGTGTGTGGCTGGCTGACTGGCTGGCTGGCTGGCTGGCTGGCTGGCTGGCTGTGGGTCTCTGCATCTGTTCCCATCTGCTATATTATAAATAAAAGGAAATGTTTCCGGCCACAGTTTTTACAAAACGTATTATACAATTGAAAAATAACTAGATTGTATCTCCTCAAAAAAAAAAAAAAACAAAAAACAAACAAAAAAAACAACAACAACAAAAAACCAAAGAACAAAACTCGGTTCTTCTAACAACTTCATTTGGGTCAGAGGATAGCAAAAGATTCTGGCTAAAAGATAGATCTTCCAATGCCATCAAAGCACCCACATACATCAAATGGATAATGAATCTCTGCTTACAAGAAGTCACATTACACAAACTTATTTACACACACCAATCATTTACATACATACCTGTGTTAACCGGTTCTTTGTCTTAGGTTTTACTTTATTAAGGAATGAATGAAATCCCACTGGAATGTTGGCTTTCCTGTAACACATAATAGGGATACTTCTTCATTATGCACATATGGTCACTGATGGTGCATATGGGGTGGTTGTGATGTAAAGAAACGAGAAAGCCTATAGAGTCTTCCAGTGTCTCTTGGGATCTCTGTAAGTGGAAAGTAACCAGGTTAAAGAGGAATCTCAGAGAGAGGCCAGTGGAGTACCACAAACCCAGCATGACTGAGGATTTCAAAGCTGAAAATTTTGAAGGCTGCTCAACCTCAGGGTGGATGCGCTGTCCCAGCCATTTATCTGAGATGCAGAGAGAGTGACTCTTGATCTCTTGACTGTGTTCAATTTTTTCCAGAAGAAGAGGTGGTGAATATCACCCAGCTTCCACTCCGGGGGCCCCCCTGCTTCACTAAGGCAGACTTCTCAAGCCTTTCTTACTTTTCAACTGGAAACTTATGACATTGAAAACAATTACGTAGCTTTTGGGAGTCTTCACTTAGCATGCTCACTTTTGTTTCTATGGTGAATCCAGGGGAGCTTCTGGGGGAGTAGCTACAGTTATACATGAACAGATAACCACAGCATTAGTTAGTAAATCAGTTAATTAGCAAACATACTTCCAAATGCTTAATTTGGATGTTCTATGGAAGAAATAAGCAAGGAGAGTTTCCAAAAGATTTCATTTCTGTCGGGCATTGGGGCCACGCACGCATGTAGGCAGAGGCAGAGGCAGGGGGATCTCTTCGAGTTCAAGGCCATCCTGGTCTCCACAGTGAGTTCCAGGACAGTCTCCAAAGCAATACAGAGAAATCCTGTCTCATAAAAAAACAAAAAACAACAAAAAAAGAAAAAAAAGAAAAGATTTTATTTCTAAGAAGAATTATGCTTAAGAAAAATTAAAATAGTGTAATCAGTTAAGGTCCAAAAAGCCAAATATGTGAGAAAATACATCAGCACCATCAAGGCCTCACTGCACTTCTTATTGCCCATGAATTCATGTTTAGAAAAAGAAAAAGAAATGCCTCTAAGAATTGAGATAGAGCTGTGCAGACTAGCAACCCTAGTTCTGGAGCTGTGGCAGGAGAATCAAGATTTCCTTTCTATATAGTGTGAGACACTCTGTACAAAAGCAAAACAAAAAGCCATCCACTTAAAGTCATTGTGTGCGTTTGTGTGTTCTGCTGCTCTTCTGTTGTTTAAGAAAGGCAGAAGTTTGCCTCAATTATTTACTCAGCTTTAGAAAGACTTTAAACACATAAACAAAAAGGCACTGAAAAAAATCAACATTATTTTGACAAACAGTTGATACATAGACTATTGTCAGACAGTTTTAGCACCACTTAACTCCTGCTGCAACCACAGAGATGGGAATGGAAAGTCTATAAATTCAGTTAGTGATTTGCATACTGGAGCCACATGCAAATACTGGAAGAGAGGCCCAGAGCTCAGGCCTTTGCATTTCCCACACTCTATTCTGAACTCTTTTCTCACTTGTAATCAATACCACATAGCTTACTGCATAGTCACGTGACACTGGTTTGAACACTAAGTAGATTGGAAGATCACATGCCAGAGAGACAAATACATATATCCAGTATGTATCTCTCACAATTCCTTTTACTTCCCTGCATCCATCCATCTATCCATTTGTCTAGTGAATATTAAAAACCAGGACTTATTCTGTAACTATGTATGACCTGAACAGGGTCTATATTTCTGGGAGGTTTGGATGCACAAGAAAAACATCAGAGGTAGTAAACATGATAGAAGAACTAGGGTAAGACAGAGAAAGGGACACTGAATCTGAATTCCTCTCCAAGAAATAGATGCTTGGGAATGACCAAGAGCTTTCAAAACCAACTGAATTGGACTGTGCAACCGAGCCACAGAAGCCCTGTGGAGACAGAAAACACCAAGAAAGGGGCATTTGAAACGAGCTGGGAAGGCGGCAAGAAAGCACTCTCGTTATTTCTAAAGGTCACCGTTAGGCATGTAGATTGTATACTGAAGGCTGTTCAGGATTTTACCTGAAAAAAATTAAATGTTCTGATTTAAACTTTTAAAAGATTTCACTGCCTAGTGTGTGCAGCTGGAATTGACAAGTAGAGAGAGAGAGAGAGAGAGAGAGAGAGAGAGAGAGAGAGAGAAGTTGCATCATCTCAACATCACAATATCAATCTTATCACAAGAAGATTTGCTGATAGGACAGAAGCCCCAGATTGAAAGCAAGTTAAAAATAAGTACTGCTTTTGCAGAGGACCTGAATTCAGGCTCCAGCACTCATGCTGGGCAGTTCACAACTGCCTCTAACTTCAGTTCCAGGGAACCAATAACTTTTCTGGCTCACATAGGCAACTGCACACACACACACACACACACACACACACTGTGGGGGGAAGGGGGAGGGAGGGGGAGGAAGGGAGACAGACAGACAGACAGACAGACAGAGAGAGAGAGAGAGAGAGAGAGAGAGAGAGACAGAGAGAGGGAGGGAGCAAAGATTGCCCATATGTTTGGCATAAGAAATGGAACAAGTGAGGATTCCCTGAGCTGGAAAGAGGGATAGGAGTGCTGGAGGTGAAATAGGAAGGATATTTTTAGGGATGCTGACACCAAGACTGAAAGTTCAAAAAAAAAAAAAAAAAAAAAGAAAGTTCAACAAGGCAGATAAATGCAGTACCCAAATGAGAACTCACCAGCCCACATATGCTTTCTGAAACCATTGTACTTCGTAAAACTACATCCAGTGGTTATGTGGACAATTTAAAAGGGGGAGCTTCCTAAACAGCAAAGAACATTGGCTGTTAGCAAACAAGCCAATGAAACAAAGAAGATGCAAAGTGAGTTTTCATAAGGTATCAGAAGGCAGAAAGTGAGTATTTAATTCCTTTCTAACTTTTGGCAGAAAAGGACAGTAATTGGCATGTTGCATTAGTGTCTTCACAAAGCAATTCAAAACAAGAGCCCTGGATGTAAATCAGAGAGTAATGGGAGAATGGATACTGTGTCCTCATTGGAATTTCATTTCAGTGAATATGTGCATATGTTTCACATAATTCACACACTGGACTGTGAGTGAACACATTATTTATAAGCAGAATATTGGAATGACATCTGCCTAGAATGTTCTATGATTCTCTTGATCTAAGAAATATAAAAATTTTAAAGACTCACTGATCATTTATTGCACCTTCTTTGAAAAACTTTCAGTTTAATAAGCATACAAATAAAACTGGAAGATGATGGAATGGAGTAATGATGTCTTTTCTTAGAGAAAAATGTATATTCTTCTTTCTTAAAAGCTTTGATTTGAAGTATGTAAGTAATGTGGCAAATGTAAAACTCACACCCATTTTGTCAGTACTTTCCAGTCTTAGGCCTGTCTCTAAATCAATAGCATAGCTAGTTTTTTGTGGATATCTGGAGTCCTTTGCTCTTTTACATGTGGGCACATGGGCATGTGTGCATGTGGCATGTATGTGTGTGCATCAATGTGTGGAAGGGGTGTCCTTGGGAACATAGAAAGGAAATTGTTGCTGCTTCCTCCAGTTCCCCTTTTATGATGCAGCTAGAGGTGATAGATGATAGCAACCCTTTTCTCTGGGGAATTATTGGTCAAAGAGAGAAACGATTACCTCCCCTCCTGGGGATAGCGTGCAGAGCTCACTGGGTAGGTAGTAAGCACACACACAGGCCTCAGGGAGTCCCACTGCTACAATGTGAGCCCTAGAGCACTTCTGAATGGTTAAGTGAGCAAGCCTCCATCTGGTCTACTTTCCTGCTTAGCATCCTTCCAGCATCCTACACTGTTTCTCTCCTCCCCCTTCTTGTGAAAGCATGTTCATGAGAATCACCATCCTCTGGAGGAACACAGTTAAACTGGTTTCTATATAACCAAGACATGGGCATTACATTGCACAGATACTACAAGTGTGTGTGCGTGTGTGCGTGTGCGTGTGTGTGTGTGTGTGTGTGTGTGTGTGTGTGTGTGTATGTGTGTGTAAAATACAGCCCCTTTGGTGTTGCTTTTATGAACCTTTTTTTTTTTTTTTTTTGGCTGCCCCTTGGGGTTGTATAACCTATCAGACTGATTCTACCTCTGTTAGAAGCCATTGATTGCTCTTCGTTGAGGAAGTGGAGTCTTATATAATCACCTCTCCCTACCACACACAGTGGTATGTAGACTGGGGTTGTCATTATACTGGTCTTGCTTAAGGCTACCCTATTGTTGAGATTTCATAGGCACAGTTTCCCTGTCATGTCTAGAAGACACTCTATAACAGCAAGTGCTCTGGTCCTATGGATTTTATACTCTTCCCACCCCCTCTAGTAGATGTACCAAATGGAGCTTGGCACCTCACATTTGCTTATTCTCTGCGTTTTGGTCAGATGCATATCTCTGACGTGGCCTCCATCTGCTGCTAAAAGAAACTTCTTTGTTGAGAGGTTAGAGCTATATGTATATCTGGGAATAAGAATAGGTACTTAGGATACAGTTTCAAATTAGGTTTAGGAAAATGGCAATGGTAGGTTCTCCTGCATCACACAGGATAGTGTTCCTCCAAAGGGTCATAAGACTGCCTAACAAAAACCCCAGCTCTGGACATGGGAAGCCTCCCATGAACTGCTTATCAGAATGCTTCAAAAGAATCCCAAACCATCATGGGCTATTGCCAGGGCCCTGAGCTTCTTCCTAGAACTTGAAGGAAAGATCCTATTGCTGATTATATGTCACACACTTCTGACAAAGGATGTGAAGGAATCAAGCGGGAACTGACCTGGAAGCGTCCTCTCTAAGGACAAACTCTCAGAAGGTGTTATGCAAACTGCCAAGGGAGAAAAGTGATATTCTTAGCCATGTGTAAGGCCTGTGAACTACACCAATGCTTGCTATCCTCAGTGCACAATGGTGGCACTATCACTTCGTGGGTAACCAACAGCTGTCTAATTGAACTTCAGGCCTTCTTAATAGAAGGGGACTCCTGCCTGATACTGTAAACCCAACAACAGCCACCCATGCCTGGAAGTCATTTCCATGAGTAAGGCTAGCTTGCAAAACTTTGCAAAAATC